GTTTCTTGCTCGTGGTGTTTTTTTTTTTTTTTTATCCTGAAACAATATTGTCTTCTTCGTATACAAATATACAATCACAAGGATTTTCCGAGCCTCCGATTTTTAGCTCGTGCTTCAGCACATGGCTTTTGTTGCGTCAACGTCATCGACCGGTTCGGGTAAACCGGACCTACTTGAAAAGTACAACTTAGTTAATTTATCCTCCAATTCTAAATGGATAAATTTAAATTAATTTCTACTAGTCAATAACTTAAATTAATTATGATGATGCATCTTCACGATAAGTGATTTAAATGCATATTGAAAACATAAATAAATTTTAAAAAATTTATAAATGTTAATGTTACAGATTTAATTTTTTTTAAAAAATAATTTTGTAATCAAATAATATCAAAATCAATCCAAATTCAACTAAATATTAGATCAAATGGTCTAATAGATAGTGTAGACGAGTTGACTTTACCCATAAAAGAGAATTAGCTAATCATCTAATTTTAAATGAATAAACTTAAATTATTATTTTTTGGATAAAGAACTTCAATTAATGATGATGATGGACATTTTTGTTAGTAGTGTTAAACTAATTTGGATATATTTTTTAAAATTATAATGTAATTAAATTAATAAAAAGTAATAATAAATTTTAAAATAACAATGAGTAAGGTCATTATCATATCGTAGTTTTATTTAAAAAATTAACTGATTATTCAGAAATAATAAGTAGATATCAAGTTACAAATTGGGATAAAATCAAACATTCATTTTAAGTTTTTTACCACTTGGAAGCAAAATGGACGAGCAGCCCAAACCCGGCCCGTAGATGTTCGGCCGTGGTTCAAGGGAAACGATAAAGGATTTGTTAGTTAATCGTTAACCCATAGTTACACGTAAAATTAGAGAGCAAAATTACTAAATTAGCGGATAATTAATTTCTGATTTGCCGTAGCCGGTAGATGCTGTTTTTTTTTTTTTTGAACTTTTCAATTGCTGACATGAGCTCTTCGACGGAGGCAAATCAAATCAAATCAAATAAATAGCTGAAACTGTTGTTCTTCTCTTCAACCTAAAACTCCAGCTCAGGATCCGAATTCCGGTAAAGTTTTCCTTTTTTTCAAAATCAAAATGCCTCTAAATCGTGATTACATTCGCTCTGCGGGAAATTCATAACCATATTTGGATCTTGTTTGTTGAAAGTAATTTAAGCTCTGTTGCCAGATCTAATTCTTTTGCTGATTGCATTTTCAATACATTGTCGAATTATGATGCGCCGGTGCTTGGATTTATCAAAAACAATTGCGTTTCGATTTTGAGATGTTGATCTCAAGAGCGATGGAAAAGTAGCGGTGGATGAAATTTGTTAGCTTATTTTTATGAAAAGCGTTATCTCTAGGAGTAGCTAATGATAATTGTTCACAAATGCGGTGATTTGCCGGCTTCATTCAATTTTCACTTTCGCTACTTAAGCAAAAAGTATTTTTGGATTAAAATGCAAGACAAGATTTTGAGAGTGTAAAAAATTAAAAAATTTATTTTTTCGGACGAGGAAATGCATACTTTTACTTAGATTAGTTTTTGATTGACTGCTCAAATCTGATTAATTTTGCTATTTTACTCATGATATTATACTTTTTTCTTTTGTTAAGACTAATAGTGAAACTTTTAATTGCATTTGAGTAGTAGTATGAACCCAGAGTCTGCGGATTCCTCATCTCAACCCCTCGCTAAAGCTTCTGATGGTGAAACTCCTGCTGAAGCCACTGATGTTAAACCGCCAGCTAACACTAGTGACAACAAACATCAAGCAAAAGCTAATGAGGTTGAACCTCCTGCCAGAGCTGTTGATGTTGAGCCTCCAAAGGCTGGTGATAATCCACCCACTGTCACTGCAAAAACTAATTCCTCGCATGATTCCCCACCATCTGTGTTATCCTCCACTGCCATATCTTCTTGGGCGAGGAATTTGAAATTTCCACAGCCTGTAGCACCGCCGCAAGACTCTCAAGCTGGAAATACTGGGACTTCGGCTTTTGCACGCTTCACCAGTGGGCTTGGACTGCGGTTGCAATCAATGAGTCTACCACCGGATGATAGTGCAGCGCATACCTCTACAGCGACACAAGCTGTTCTTGAATCATTCAAAAAGGGTATAGTTGATTCATCTCGGAGTGCAGTGAAGGCAGTGCAGGTCAAGGCACGCCATATTGTCTCCCAAAACAAACGAAGATACCAGGTAGCCTACTTTTGTTGTTACTGGTGGTATAATTTTAATCAAAATGCTTGATATCAATCACAGTTATCTTGAATTCAGATATTATTCTGCACTGTTCCTAGTGAACTTATTCTAATCGGTAAGTTTTCCATTTTTGTGTTTTCCTGACCATAACTAGAAATTCATTGTCTTTAAGACTTATATATAATCAATACCAGAGATGTAACCAATTACATGCTCAAAAGAATTTTTAATGCATGATATACAGGAGGGAGAGTTTGATTTGGATATGACTTATATCACTGAGAATATAATTGCTATGGGGTTTCCTGCTGGTGATCTAAGCTCAGGGCTTTTTGGATTCTTTGAGGTAAATTTTACCTTTGCACATAAATTCAGTGTCCAAGTTCACTTTATGGTTTTATGGACTGTAAAATGTGACGCAGGGCTTCTATCGAAATCACATGGAAGAAGTAATCAAGTTTTTTGAAACTCATCACAAGGTAGGATGTTGCATATATAGCAAAGGAATATTTTATTTATTCATTGGATAGGTCTTGGAAAAGGGTAAGGTGTTCCCTCAATTACATAAGGAAATATTTGGAAGTGGGACATTCTTTTTTAGAATTTTAAATTGGAATATGTAAAATTGTAAAATCTGTGATGCTACATGCCTAACCAAATATTGCAAAAAAGTTTAGAATGGAACATTAACTAAATGACGAGATGAGACTGGATGAGAAAAAGGGATAAACTTTGAGAAGAAATATATGACTTCCATCAAAATTTTTTGGAGCTATTTTGGAAATATTGTTTATGTTTCAGATAAAAACATTTACAGGTAATAATTAATGAATCCACATGGAGATGGAGGTGATGAATAATTGTTGAATTTTGTCTTTGATATGGTGCTCAACACATTGATTGGAAGAATGTATTACCATTAATCATTGGCATTGATTTCTAAGATCTTAAACTGTGAAAGAATCAATGTCAAAGTTTGTCTCATTAAAACAGAGGTTAGGAGGCAAAGTTGCTGGACTGAGGGTAATTGAGACAAAAAGTTCTAGGGTTATAGGAACATAGTTGAATAGTAATATCTTTCTCTTTCCTTGCTCTATTTTGCCTTTTCTGCAGAATTAAAAAGGAAAGCTCAAAGTTTATTTTTGTTACTAGCCGGTAATAGCACATTGTAGACTTTTAGTTGCTCTAAGTTTTTGCATTGAATATGGTTTTATGTTGTCTGTGAGTAGGTATGACTTATCTTACATTTCTGAAGCTTATTGAAGCCCTTGTTTTTTCACATATTTTATTTCAACATTTTTGTGCAGGGGAGATATAAAGTGTACAATTTGTGTTCAGAGAGGTTGTATGATGCATCACTATTTCAGGGGAAGGTTTATTCTTCATCTCTATTTGCCTACTAAAACCAATTGAATTATGGTGGTCAATGCTCCTCAACTTGTGAGATGTCAATGTTTAGAACTAAATATATGCATGTGTTTGATGTCATTTGGTTCTGTAACTATATTGCATAGTAGATTTTGAATGATTTTGGAGACTGCGGTCTAATATTTACCATACAAAATGCCAGAGCTTCTTCTGAAACAATGCTTTTGCATACCTTTTGTTATGTTGGCATTTTGATAATACTAATTTTTCCAACTTCCCATTTAATGTAACATCCAACATTTTAACAGGTTGCAAGTTTCCCATTTGATGACCACAATTGCCCCCAACTTCAACTCATAAAATCCTTTTGTCAAAGTGCATACTCATGGCTGAAGGAGGACATAGAAAATGTGGTGGTTGTTCATTGTAAAGCTGGTATGGGAAGGACGGGATTAATGATTTGCAGTCTTCTTTTATTCCTTAAGGTGTGTTTTGATTATCTCCTCGATAGATCTGTGGGTTTTTAGCAAAAACTTGTTGCTTTTTTTGGTTCCATTTTCAATTCATTTTATGTTTGTATTAATACTTTGCTTTCTTCAGTTCCTTCCGACAGCTGAAGAGGCCATCGATTACTTCAACCAGAAAAGATGCATAGATGGGAAAGCTCTGGTTCTCCCAAGTCAGATTGTCAGTCATCACTTCAAAGGAAAATTTTGATCTTTTATGTGTTTGATATTTTTTTAACATCATTCTCATACGTAATATTTTTCCATTTGCTTAGAGATATGTCAAATACTTTGGGCGTATCCTAAGCCATTTCAATGGAGAAAATCAGCCTGGACGTAGGTAGGGTGTCTCATATCTTTTAGATTGTGTTATATTTACGCTAAATAATATACTGAAGTTATCATTTACAGGTGCATGCTTAGGGGGTTCCGGCTTCATAAGTGTCCCTACTGGATTAGGCCATCTATTACTATCTCTAATCACAGTGGTATGTTTTGATGTTTATGTAGTCCTTCATGATGTTGGTCCTATGATATTATGCTGTGGGGCATTGGCCCTTTTCAATTAATATACCTTGGCAAGTTCCATACTATAGAAACTTAAATATGTTACAATTTTTTCTTTCTCCTTTTCACAACTTTAATTGAGATTCTACCCCTTAACCTTCCATTCACTTCTACACATTTTATTTGTACGTGTCTTATCTTCCTGAAGCAGTGGGCCAAATATGTCCTGGCACAATGGCACAATGATGCAATCTTGGCAAGTTAATGCCCGCATAATTTTCTCTTTTTAACTGCTTTCTGGTGAAGTTATATACAAGAGGATTCTTTGTTTTATTTTTGGCCAAGATATACAAGATGTTTCACTGTTTTCCATATCTTGTAATTTTTTTCTCAGTACATGATGTGCAAATGTGATAACAGCAGCATTTTTCCTCACCTCAGGAATTTTGTTCTCTACAAGAAAGCATCCAAAAACGAAGGATTTAATGGTGATTCTTATCTTTTAAAACCATATGGTTTCATTTTAGTTCTGTGGTTGTTTGTGTTAATCTGTCAGTACTCTGCTAAAGCGTTTGCATTTGCAGCCAGAAGATTTCTGGATTAAGGCACCTAAGAAAGGGATAGTGGTTTTTGCTCTGCCCGGGCAGCCTGGTCTCACAGAATTGGCGGGTGACTTCAAAATCCAATTTCATGACCGTCAAGGAGATTTCTACTGGTCTGTAATATTTCTCTTTTGTCTTGTTCTGTGTCTAGAGTTAATTAAAATGGAAAGTGGAGTCATTTTCATTGGACAAGTTATTCGATCTTGCATTGAATGAATTTACTATTTGCCCAACTTACTCTTTAGCACATTCATGAGCAATGGTAAGCAAAATAGCCATTTCTCTATGGAAGATTGTGCATTCTGTCTTCAAAATCTGTTTCTTAGGCAGTTGCTTGATTGCCTCGAGGATTATGCTCTCTTCGTAGGGCATAAATTTCTTTAAGATGTGTATAATAGTTTCCCACAGCTGATACTTCTTTTAACTTTCCTTTTCAGTTGGTTAAATACAACAATGATAGAGAACAGAACAATACTGGACACCTCAGATCTTGACGGTTTTGACAAGGTAAATGGCTTTATAATAGAGACTCGTGTGTTGAGAATGCTTCTTCTTCCTCGTTTTCCACATTGTGTTTCATTCTGTTAATTCATTTTATAATCTTTCTTCTGGTGACTTGTTAACTTTGCTATGTAGATAACTGCGCCTTATCCTGGATTCAAGGTTGAACTGGTAATGGTAGACTATGACGGTATACCACAATCAAATTCTAATACTAATTCTGTCAACAAAGAAACTCAGGGTAACTCCAGTTACACAAAGGATGGAGTCACAGCCCGTTCAAAACATAGCAAAGTTTCTGGAAATGAAGACAATGATGACGTATTCTCAGACAGCGATGGGGAGGAATCAGGGGCTTCAAGGAGTCGGCAGACTCAAGCTGCTGCTGGAGTTGGACCTGCAGTCTCCAGTCATCTAACTAACCCTGCAGCTGAGCAAATAGGGATGTCCACGCATGGAACTCATCAACCATCAGTCAAAAATCAAGAGCCAGCGTTGAGCAATGCTTCCAAAGACGTAAGCATTAATGGAGCAGGCAAGCCTTCCTCAGGACTTGAGATCCCCAATCTGGACTCCATGGGAGCAAGTGACATCAAAGCGATTGCTGCTGATGCATCAGTCTTCAGTTTTGGGGATGAAGAAGAAGATTATGAAAGCGAATGAAGTCACGAAGCATTGTTGAGAGTGTTGCATAAAGGTTGGAATTAGAAATGCCCATCAAAGAGTTGATTTATTGTATTCATTGGTTTGATTGCTTCATTTTTTATATAGCAGGGTTCATTTTCCATTGGGCAGCTCGCAAAATTGGAACATAAAATTCCCACCCCACTCCACTGCCAAATAAAATAAGCCTTTCAAGCTGTTTCACCGTTCAGGCACATAGGCCGTAATTACTTGGAAATCTAGATCAGGCATGCTTGGATTGTGGAACCACTTCTCCTTCCAGAACTGAGTACAAATATAAATTAAAACTAAATTCATTGGAGATAATATCAGTCCTAACTCAGAACAAAAACTGAAGAAAACACTTCCTCCACCATTTCAGGTAAAACTAGTGAGACTATACAAACTACGCAGTAAGTTAAGCCCCAAAATTGGTTTTTCTTTAAGGCTCTTTTTCATTTTATCAACCTTCTTTTGAAGATCAGCTATGATCTTATCCTGCATAACAATTCGAAAATCTTTCTGTTTCAGTTCTTGCTTCAACCTCTCAATCTCTTTTAAGTGATCATCAAATTGATTAAAATTTGCCATTGTTTCCTCTACAGGTTTGATCTGTCTTAAGCTTTTTGGACTCAATAGATTTCTCCTCACCCTGAAATGCTCTTTTATTTGACAAAACTTGGCACTGTGAATCACCCTGTGCCATTTTACGGATGTACATACTAGCAGTTACTCCTCTGCCAAACTGAAATGCAACTTGTTTCTGAGGTAGTCCAGATGAATCCTGAGACAAGAAATAAAAAAAAAAGATGCAAATAGCAATTTACGTAATAAAGAACGCATTGGCATTCAAAAATTGTCCATCGCAAATCATGTGGAACAAGAAAAGATTATTGATATATCATCATGAAGAATTCCAGGGTTTGCTGTTAAAAATACACACCTTTTCTTCATTGCCTTCTATATTTTCAAATGCTCGGTTTGCTTCTTGAGGACTATTAAAGACAGCAAACACAGAGTAATGGCGACCTTGAGCCTTTTTAGATGGCTGCCAAAAAAATAAATCACCATATTAGAAACTCAGCATGGATAATTAAGTGCAAATGAAGGAAAAAGAGCTTGAAGCTAAAGTGCTTGTCAGGAACCCAAGTCTTGATGTCCAAATCTTAAAACTTTGAATTATCTATTATACAGGTTATCTGTACCACTTCATCCATGAATATAGTAGAGGAGTTTAGATCCAGGACAATATAGTCACCTGACAACAGCTTCCTTTATGTAGGGTTGTTTGAGTTTTAACAATTTAGCTCATCTTTCAATTGCCATGTAGAAATGCAGTTCATCACAGTATTAGATAAATACTCAGATGATCATCAATTTATCAATTCAGTTATCCCAATCAATCAATTTATCCCAATCATAAAGCCTCAATCATTTAAACATAAGATATGCAGCACTAAGAGGCAAAGAAAAAGGCAAGCCAAGATTTCTAAAGAGAAAACAAGATAGAAATAGAAATAATCAACCTTTATTTCAATTGCAACATCTCCGGGGATGACTCTAGATATTTCTTCCCTAGGAACATTGATCGGTATCCTATGGAGCAGTAGCTTTTCCATTTCAGCTTGGGGCACCTGGTGTTACAGAAAAATAAAATCAATTGAAAGAAATTAAGATACATAGGTGATAATCATAAACAGTTGAAAATAAAAATAACCAGCAGTCACATGTCCATACATCTTCTTGAACCAGTGGAATGTCACCAAGCTCTAGCTTAGCAAGAACTAGTTTCATTGCAGCACACGCATCATCTAGGCAGTTATGAGCAGCACCAGGCTTTCGAACTTCATATCCCAGTACAGACTGTAAAACAATGCATGGAACAGTTAAAACAAGCATCTCAAACTACCAGTAGACTTTTGCCATCTATGCCACCATGCAAGGTCTTTACTATTAACAAAGCAGTGTTAATTACAATCAAAGAATGAGCAAAATAAAGGGGATTATTCACAAGCCATCCAGAAAACATCCTGAAAACCCAGATGTGAGTACTCAATTTAAGTGGCCAAAAAGATAAAAAAAATGCAGTACTTAATTTGACATGTGTGAAACATGCAAAAACAACATATGTAGTAGATCGGGTCCTTTCCATCAGGAAAAAAAAAGACACCTAGTACTTGCCTTGCACAAGTTATTCAAAGACGGTCTTTTAGAGATAGATGCGTCCAAATATTTGAAGATATATGAGGTGTCAATCACTCTTGCATGGTCTATCTTTAAAACTGTACCCATAAAAAGATAACATGAAAGGTTAAAAATGACACCAGAGCTATAACCTCCCTATACGAAAAGTTCAAGTCTGATTGGCATTTGAATCTAACATAAATGAAAATGAGGTCAAACTTTTAGCCATTATAAAGCATACCTTGCAGATCATTGTGTAAACTGTGGCCCACTAAAATAGTCCCATCGGATAACAGCTTCTTCATGGATTTCTATGAAAAGCAATCCATTTTGCTCAGACAAAGAGCATTGAAGGAGATCTAAGAAACAGAGAAATTAACCATGCCATACCTGTATGTCTGCTACCGAACAAGTAACACTATCCAAATCTCCTGCAGCAACTCCTGTAATCTCAGTCCGATAATCAGCCACTGCTTTGTTTGGATTTACAAGTTTATCAATTTTGACCTGAAAGAAACAAACACCAGACAAAAGTTTTCTTTTTCCTTTTAGCTACTGCAATACAACCAAATTATAATTAACAATTAACTGCCCTTGAGCTCATAGCAACTTGAAGACACAAATTGCCAAATTAGTAACTCGCAAGATTTGCATTCTTTTGAGGTGGTAAATAAGACATTAGTTCCCATTTAAGATGCTGTAGCATAAAAAGTCCTTTTTCAAATTCTAAAAATGAAAAATCTAGTTGATACCTGTAAATCACGATCCACAACACAAACTCTCACTAACGCTTCTGTGCCATCTTCACAGAGAACCATTTCACAATCAACAGCAACCATGGCATTTGATCTCAACATCCCAGATTTTTTAGGGAGCTTGGTAATGATCCATCCCTACACCAATGGATCAGCATATATCTATAAAAGGATTTTGAAAATGGATACAATTATAACTGAGATGAAAGGTAAAGATGATAGCAACAAACCTCATCGCCTGATGGGAATGTATAATCTAGTGGATATTGTGGGTGTTCCAAAGTTAAACGAACAAGCCTCTGCACTGCCACCATAACCCATTAACAAGAGCAATTACAAATTCGTTGTAAGCAACTATAAATGCAACACTAACGAATAAAGATGCACCATACTATACCTGCTCAGGGGATTCATTATCCAAAGATTGTTTTCCAAACTGATCAGCCGTGGCCCTATTTAAATAACCTTGCAACATTCTATCAAAAAGCTGCAAACAAGCGGGAAAAAGGAAAACATAACATTAACACCCTAGAACCTTGATTGCTAAACAAAAAACAGCACTCGAAAACAAACACCATGGCAAATACAATAATCAATTACCTTCAAATCATCTTCTTTAGTAAATGTCTTAAGAAAAGATACCAAAACACCGTTAGACCGCCTCGACGGATCACTCAAAGAAGCACCAAACTTTTTGTCATAAGAATTCAAAAACTCCTTCCATCCTCCTTTTTTACCTTTCAGTCCTCTCTTTTGAACGAACTTAACGATTTCAACAAGAACCTGTTCATACTTTTTCCTTAACTTGTCAGCACGATGCATGAAAAAATTGAAGGAAAAACCTGAATATTAATAAATTTAACATTTTATTTTGAAATTAACATCCTTTTGCCTAATAATAACGGAATTAACGAACAGACTGAAAGAAAATGCAATAATTGCTGAAAAGACCGCTTTACCTTTTTCTCGGCCGTGTACAGTCTCTCGTCCATTCGGAGCTCAGTGAGAGAGAGATTGAAGGAGGCGGGACAGATCAGCTATGGGGGTGTAGGGTTTTTGGATACTTCGAGTTCGACTCAACCGCTTTGACACATTTAAAATCTAGACCCGGATCCGACCCGTCAAAATTGTCCAATTAAATTTTATTTATGATTAAAATATTTTTATAATAATTTTAATATTTTTAAATATATTAAAATCAAATCAAATAAATAATTATTATATCATATGATAATGTCTTAAATGGAGTTAATCGAATTAAACCTGAACTTATAAATTTGTATTTAAAATTCGATTCAAATTAAATTAAATTCATCGATTTAAAAAATAATATGATCAATGAATATCTTTATTGATATTTACTTATTCTAGTGTTGACAAAAGTGTACACGTTTGTAAAAAAAGAAAAATTATTCACTATTTTGGTACTCAATAACAATTTGTATATAAATAATAGGGAGCCAATTTGTTAAAATAAAATAAAACACTAAACTCAAAAATTAGAATATCTAATTAAACAACCCAACATAAGTTGGAGGCATTATTTAGGGTAAGTTCAATGATTGTAATGAAATATTTTTTAAAAAAATTTATTGATTCTATCGGGAAAATCATTTATACTTTAAAGTTAAAAGATTAAGGTTCCTTACCATTTGTGTTTCATTAAAAGTTTTGATAAAGACAGAAACCAAAACTTTATAGAAAGTAACCTAAAGCTTTATATAAGAGACTAGAAAGTAGCACCAGCCCAACGCCCCCAACCTACCACGAGCTGAAAGGCCAAACCTGCCTAAAGAGTCAAAAGAACAACAACATCCACATCTCACAAACTTGATATGGATGGAGAATTCACGCTAATTACAATACACAGACACATTTGAACAAGTATTGACAGAAATCAACAATGAAAGAAAATGAAAAATGGGTTTCAATCCTTGCGATAGAACCATCCGGGCATTCCGAAAAACAACAATGAAACACTGAGTCAGACAAATATAGATTGTTTGTTACCCAAAGGAAAGAACAATGAGATCAGAGTAAATTATCCAGCTGTGAAAATGGATCATTCACAAAAGATACCACCAGAATCATTGCTGTTGTTCTTTGTTCTGGACTATGGTCGTGGAAAATATCAATGGCTCTTTCTGCTAAATCTGTCGAGAGATTGATTTCAACAAGGTTAAAACCTTATTATTGACAACGCTTAAACATACCAATGATCAGAAAATTGTTTTCTAGAAAGTCCTTCAATGAATTTGATAAACTTCCAAATTGAAGTCTAACATTACCAGCAGACAAGTAAAGTCAGTCGAAAAGCTTTAAATGCTGTTTTAACCCTGTCAAAGAATTCAAGGTCCAAGCAGACACCAGCCATGCCATATGAAACTAAATATAAAGACTCCAAACGATGGAAACTTCTTTCTCAAAAGTCACCACTCGAAAAGAAAAAGGACTCACAGTGAATGTGCAATGACTATATCAACACAGGACCATGACCTTTCCAAAAATAAAAGTAAAAGTTTTAAAACAAATTAAAGTTGCCAGGAATCAGTCAAAAAGAGGAGAGAGAGCTGTTTACCATCTTGCACCGGACACTCAAGCTGCCACATAAAGATATATCTCTAATTGCAAATTAAATGCAAGTTACTCCAGACATTCGATATCATTCCATAAGAAGTCGCAAACACATGTACACAACCATTGAAAAAAAATATAATGGGCAACATCAGCATACTGCTGAAGAAATTGCATATTTGACAAATTAAATTACAGCAAATAGAAAGGGGGAGGTGGATAAAGAAGATGCAGCTATAAGCAATAATGAGAAAATCCTTCGCCACTTGCTTCCTGTTGTCTTCCCTTTCAATGTTTACAAAATCCAAGAAAAAAAATTTAAATCAAGAAATACAATTAGGCATTTTTTCAAAAAAAAAAAAAAGGCTCATCTCAGTGAACTCAAAAGACTGCAATTGTTCAGGGCAAGAATATTTTCCAACTCTTACAAAGATCATTCACAGATCATTTACAAGTTGCTATTGAAACTATCATCACTGTTAGACCACCTTCTGAATGTGCATGCCACTAAATTTCTAACAGCAAAAAGCCCAACTTTACCTCAATAATGCTAATCTACCATTGCTGCTCGTTGAAGCATCTGGACCATTTACTTGGCCACCCGCCGGCAGTATCTCCACACCATTTTCATGAACTCCAACATCACTGGCACTAGCCTCAAAACCACCATCCATTTCACAAGCATCCATATTGATAATCATCGATCCCCTCTTTTCACGCAACCACTCGCCAGCCTCATTACTCACCCCTTTACATTTCCTTACCTTAATTTTCACCAAACTGGGACAACCCCAAGCAAGTGCTTCAATCCCAATATCGAAATATTACACCCCTTGATGCAAAGTTTCTTCAACACCATACATTTTGCAGCAATGCAAGCAATCTCGGCATCACCAATAGTTCCACTTCCACAAAGTGCTAATCTCTCTAGTTTCGAACAATTAGAAGCAATGGCAGCCAAGCTTAAATGGGTAGCATTAACACCAATCAAAACAAGTTCTTGTAAATTAGGACAGTGTTTGGCAACAGCAATCAAACCCTCATCTCCAATCCTGTTAGTCCTCCATCCGTCAACATGAAGCTTCCTCAACAACTTACAATGCTCAGCTACACAAACAAGCCCGTAATTCGAACACTCCGGGGTTTTCACGATATGCAAATTCTCAATTTCGGTACATTTTGAAATCGCAGATAGCCCTATATCACTTACTTGAAGCCTCTCAAGGTGAATTTCCATCAAAGAATTATTATTGTTATTAAAATTTAAATTTTCTTTTCCATTTCGATTTTGACTTCCAATTAATTGAAGGACTCTATCCCAATCACCCAAACAATGAATAATTTTCAAAGTTTAAGGTTTTTTGATCCAATCACAAGCGGTTCAAAAGACTGACCGTTAACGAGTTCTTTCAAGCAAATCATTTTCAGCGACGAAGCCGCAGCTCCAGGGCCGATCGGCTCAGCTCCGTCGTGGATTCCTCTGAGCCTTTTCACCGATAACTCTTCCAAATTCTTGCAATAATCGAGGACAGCGTTTAAAGCTTTAGCGCCAAACATGCAAGAGCCACAAGAAAGTTTCCTTAAATTCTTAGAATTCTGAGCAAATGCCGACATTCCTTCGTCACTAATTTCGCGGCAACCGCGGAGCTTCAGCCGTGTAAGGTTTTGGCAACGAATTGAGATCATCACCAAAGCGTCGTCGTTTAAGCTGATTGATTTACGGCTACAACGTAGGGCGAGCTTGGTTACGGAGTCGAAGCGCGTGAAAAGAGAAGGTAACGAAGCAACGATCTCAGATTGGACGTTGAGAGACAAACGGTGACGGCTCTCACCGTCCACGCGCAACCACCTCTTGCAGACAAGGGAACACCGGTTCCGATCGCCAGGACCGAGGAATTGGAAAACATAAGCCAAACACTCGTCGGGAATCTCGGCGGTGTAATCCCGATTCGCCACGAATTCATCGGGAAATTCCTCACTGGAAACAAAACCAGAAGAGGATAAAATGCTGAAGCGATCGCTGAGGGAGCTTTCCCTGTCTAAAGCGGTGGACGGGGATTGGCCCATTGTTGCGGGTGGAGAATACGCACCACCGAAGGAGAGTAACGGGAAAAGCCTACTTTTTTTTTTTTTATCCTTTTTTTGGTTTTATTTCGGTTCTGTGTAAGGTTTCAATTAGGCTTGGGAATCGGTTGTCGAGTGTGAAATTATAAGGCGCAAAAAGGGGTTGAAATTAGGTACGTGCGTTTTGGCCCCGTCAAATAGGGGTGCGTGTCCTCGTCCCAATCGCCACGGCCGACTCCTAATCGCAATTTTTATTAAATACACCCAATTATTTATTCAGGAGCTCTTTTTTTTAGTAATTTTTATGCCGCATGATTTTGCGTGTGACTCTTTTGGATGGCAATGGCTGTGGGGACCTACCATTTGATTCTATATAAAATGGACACGTGGCGATCTTCTTCTCTTCTCCGTTTTCTAAATTTTGGCCTGTCTATGTTGCTTGAGTCCCGCAAGCCGGGCAAAATTGGGAAATACCCTACCGGAGAAGGTGGAATCAGGTAATCTAGTCATGGATGTTGTCATTCACTTAGGTTTTTTTTTAAGGAAAAAGTGGTAGTTAAATAAGAGGATTTGAAGTTTATACATGTTAATTATGGATTTATCTCTAACTAACTTCATTTCTAAGTGGAAAGAGACCAATTTCTTTACTTAAAATGCCTTTTAAGATGCTATTTATAATAATATTACTACATGAAATGACGTAATTAATATAATACATTTATATAACTTTAGATTACATATACATATAAATAATGGTTTTTTAAATACTTTCAAAATCGTCAATATAAATTAAAAGATTAAAGATTTTAATTATGCAAAAATATCAATAAAAATACTTGCTTATATAAAACACCTTTAAAATAAATATTTATACTTGACAATGATGAACCATCCCAAATTGTAGGAAGATTATTTTTAAATAACATTTGAGTTAAGAGTCTATTTATTTTTTTTTTTATAGATGGAGTTAGAGTTGATTCTATGTGAAGAATGAATAGGTGAATGGATAAGAAACTTATCTTCTACTTTAACGGCATGCATGATTAAAAGGAAAAATAAAAACTCTGGGATTCAATTTGCATAAAGAAAAACCTTGTGTTCTTTGAATAGTTAGGCAAAACGAACAGTTCAAAGCATCTTCTAGGACTTGTAATTTCAATTGAATGCTTGAATCATGTTGGAAACCCTCTTTTCTTTTTTCTTTTTTTTTTTGTTTTATAGTATTAAGGTACTACTTCTTTTAAGTTTTAATGGTAGGCAAACGGAGCAGACGACAATTCCATGACTCTTATAAATTTGTTTTTATTTTCTATGAAAAATCATATATAGTTTTCCAGGGGTTGATCAACGGTCAAACAATACGGCTCAACACTTCAACAGATGGTCCAGTACGCTAGAATTCATGTGTCGAAACAGGACGGGCCGAAAGTTCCAACTTCCAGACATTGGCCAAGTCAAATGTCCCTCCCCTCGCACTTGCTATTGGTTGTTCATCTCAATTCGCATTATTTTCCAACCAAATAATTAATACAAAGGGTTACATTATGTCAATATTGTGCAGTAGAAGAGATTGCAGAGAGGAAAATGGGAAGTCATAGTCAACGGCCAAAACCCCTAATTTGTTCCAAGGCAGTCATCAAACACGCTAAAGGGGGACGTTCTTTGGGCCGGTGGCACTTGGATTCAACAATTTTGAACTTTCCAATTGTCACCAAGTTGTCAAATTGCAAGTGTCAAAACACACCATTATTCAGAGAAGAAAGCATTTCATGCGTCCTTTTCTTGGAAAAAAGAAAGAAAGAAAAAAAGGATGGAGAATATCAAAACCTTTACATTTCTAAGAACAATACATAATAGGCATTGACACTTGTTTTAATTCAGTAATTTTTTTATTACATTATTTCATTTTCCGTGACTCGTTAGTCATAAGATTCCTTTCAATGCATAGGTTTATCCCAAAGTTTTTTTTTTTTTAAAAAAAATGATTTAGTGTGAAAAACACAAGTAATATGATCTACCAATTTATATAATTATAAAATAATATTTACTAAATAAAATAAAAACCCAAAAAGTCAATGATGCATTTAAAAAAAAAATAGAGTTGTTTCGTAGGCATAGAACATTGGTGAAATGGTTGTAAGAGTGTAAGGCCCATTTTACTTTCTGTCCTACAAATCTCATACCAATTCCTTCTTCAGCCCAATGAGAAAAGAGATCGGGTAATAACTAACAAAGATAAACCCCGACCCGGTCCAGTTATCAACCTTCTCACCTTCAACATCGAAAAGAAATGTAGATCCATACGAATCGATTTGGTTATGGGGCGCGGCTATGTAAGCTTTTTCTTGGCCCAATGGAAAGTTCGTGAGGATAAATAATGTTAATATTATGAAGTAAAACTTTAGGGGAGGAAATAATGAGAATTATTTATAAGACACTAGAATATTGCAACTCGTCCTCCTACACGTGCATGATTAAATATGAAAAAATTAAAAATTTCGAAATATATAGTGTTTTTTAAAGAGTAAAATAAACTTATAATTTTACAAATTAAGATTATAAAATTTGAGGGTTTAAAATTTATGAAACGAGAGGCAATTAATTCTTGTTTTATAATAAAAAATCATAAATATTAACATATATACTAACTTATTTTAAGTAATTAGTTAAGATTAAACTTTTAAGACAGTGAATACAGTCAAGACCATTGACTAACACACTTCCTATTCTCTCAAAAAATGAGAATTGAACACCCGCAATGTTGGAGCATTCCTTTTGCAAGTCCGGGTTTCAATGATGATGCTTATGCAATGCAATGCAATGCACCCACCAAAGTAGTGTTAGACAAAATATGCCATGATTACAGCCATTGATCCCAAAACGATTCATTGCCTCTTTGGCAATGATAATTTTTTACAGATATGAATAAAATACCCCACTTCCCCTCCTTAGAAAAGAAGTTTTGTAGCTCTAAACATTGTTGAGTTGAATTTTGAAGTCAAGTTTGGAGAACTATATATACATATATATATACCTTTTCCCTTTCAATATTTTTAGTCAAAGCCTTGGCCATGGGTGCGTGGTGTGATTCATGATTAGCATGTGTTTTAATGGGTTCCAAATTTATGTTGTTGCTCGAGTGGATGGCAGCAAAAGCAATCCCCATGGCATTTGTGCTCTTCATTTCTCTCACAAACCAAGAAAAAAAAAAGGGAAAGAAAAGAAAGCCAATTAAGAGCTAGCCATCCACATGCAAGCTGAGAATGTGACAATACAAAATCGACCATGATTGCAAGGCAAATAATGGCGATTTTACCTGTGATATCTTTGCCATCATCAACCATATATCAAGTTCTAGAACCGTGGGGTCAATATTTTTAGCTCAAGGACGAATTGATTTCTCATTTTAGGGCAGTAATATCCATTATTAAATTAGGTTGCATAACACATGGCTAAAAGAAAGGAGGTTTCACGTTCGTCTTTTTTGCTGCTTCATATACAATAAGTAGCTTCAACTAAATTAGATGGGAGGAAAGTCAGTTATTAGTTTTTTTTTACTTTGGGTTTTTCCAACTAGTTTTAATTTCAAACGTACATGTGGAATGGGAAATAAAGATTTCTCTAGGCACCTTTTAATTTCTTGTTAGCCCACTGGTAAAAATTAATACAGTTAAATTTCATAGATTGTTAGAAATTTTCTCATTCATTGATATGTAGTCGTCTTAACTTTTGAGTTTGGGGGAAAAAAATCAAAAGAATGGTTGTTACACCAACTTTTGTATTTGATATTATCTTACTTTTGTTTCATATTTGATTGATGTGGTTAATTGATAATTAATTAGCTAGAAGGATATGGAGATAATGAAGACTGATATAGGTGGTTCATTCTATCAAAACAAAGCCTAAGCTAAATAAGGCCCAAAACAAGCATAATGACCAATAATTATGCATCTAAAGCTCTAAAGCAATAGCTGGCAATTAAAACTTGCCAATATTTGACATATCATTATCAACACAAATACAGAAGAAAGCAAGAAAGAAGATCAGTTTGGTGGTGTGGGCAACAGGGGGCATGCATCTAACTTTGGGGGATGTGAGAGAGAGAGAGAGAGAAGGAAAGAGTAATTGACTTCTAACCAAAATGATGCAACAGCTTTTATAAACTTTTGTTGGTGTTAGTTGTTAGGAATTCAAGATTATGGGGAAAAAAAGGGCAGTATGATTCTATACTTGAAAAAGGAAAAGCATGGAAAAAGAAATATGCCAAATAACACAGTGAGAGAGAGTTGAGATGTCTAGTACATCGCAAAAAACTTTGTTCTGTTTTTAAGTTTCAAAGTTGGATTTCGCTGGACAACACTGCTCTTTGCACCCACCTCCATCAAGTGTCTCTCTCTCTCTCTCTCTCTCTCTCTCTCTTTCTTTCTTGGGCTACCTCAAAGCTCGAGCCGAAACCAAGAGAAAGGAGGGGGGTGGGGGGGAGAGAATAAAGGAAGAGAGAAGATATGCTGAAAAAAGAAATAATTCTCCTAGGTAACCTACATTGAAGGAAAAACATACAAGTTTTTCTCTATCGTGCTGCAAAACTCAGTCCTTTATCGTGCAACACAATGCAAAGAGTAAAAAGAAAGAAAGCTAGACTCGCTAGTTGGAAGGGGAAGCTCAACAAAAGATGGAAAAAGAAAAGCAAAACCAGTTGCTTAAAAAAAAAAAAAAAATTTATGGATTCCCTTCACTCTCACGATAGTACTGTGGAAAAGAGTAGAGGGGAAACCCCTTTTTTTTCCTTCTCTGCATGAAACATTAAAGTCCTTGGAAACGATGGGGAAAGTATTTAGTAATAAACCTCTTTAAACTGAAAACTGAAAAGATACGATTGTATAATAAACACAAAGAAAGTAAGGGCATTTATCGATTTTTATGCCAGCACTAGCAAGCGGCTTCTGCTTTCCATATCTTTAGACACTGGCAAGATTCAGGGGAGCTCAGCAGAAAATTTAAAGACAATATCAGAACCTCTTGCCTTTTTGCCTGATTTTGTTTTAATGAGAGAGAGAGAGAGCTTTTATTAAGAACAGGCTTAGACTTTAAAAGGGTTGATTATGCAAAAGTTTAGGCCAATATCTCTGATAAAATTATGTCATACGGACAGAGGAATATTTTTCCGTGGGCCTTTTGCATGAAAGAGTCAATAGGGTTTTTAAAATAATTAAACGTTACTCCCTTTTTGCCAATGCATTTAGTCTGTTTCTTGCCTTGTGAGATTAATTATGGTCAGTGGAGAACTCCAAATCTTGCCTCACCACTGTTTTGTATGTACCTTTGCTTTCCTATGCTTACACTCTGTAGTTGCTATATCATCCGTTTTAACAAATAAGAGAGCGAGAATCGATTATATGAACGCAGTACCTTTCCACATGAATGAAGTATATAACTGCTGAAGGTGCATATGAGGGATTATTCAATGTCAAATTGTACTAATCCATTCTATAACTCTGCCCAAGAACTAATGTAAAGTTTCAAACGAAAACCTAATTACACCCATTAATAAATTTCAAGTCTTAATTTAGCTAGTCTAGTTGAAGTTTCAAATGATCTTTAATACAAGCAGATAAGTAGGGGAGGGAGAGAGTAAGTGATTGAAGGTTCATACTTGAATATGGTGTCAAACATACTATATGTATTAATGTCGTAGCAGCACAATTTGAAGGGCATCTGAGCACATTTTCTTCCCCTTTTCCTTTAAGTGCATGCTTTTGCGAACCAAAGTTGTTGAAGTTCAGAATATGTATATCATAAGAATTAAAACAGAGATACGTGTTGGTTGAGCTCTAACCATCGTTTCAAATTTTCATGTTCAAAAGTTCTCTAACATGCACTCGTGAAAATTCATTTCCCTGACTGACATAATTTTGACCTGCAAAATGTGCACCTGAGGCCATGCTTGCTTTGCTGGATTATGTTCTTATAATGCATGTGGAAATTCTAAGCTTTGGGTATGCACCGGAGACATAATTTGCATTAATAAATATATCAAAAACTAAACCATCATTATAATGAGTAGTTGACTACCTAGTGAGTTTCCACGACAAACTAATGCAAATCGAGTAACATGATTCAAGCTCTGTTTCGTTTCATTACCAACCTTAATGTGGATGTTTAGTTAGGCATTTAGTCGAGGCAACTCATGATTACAGGCACTTCTCTCCTTTGGACGAAACAAACCACACCTGTTTGAGAGATGGATTAAGGTGTCAATATCAACTTTTTGGCACCCATTACATGCAAGATCTCTTAGCTATAGATTGATGATCACGCTATTGAAAAATGTCGTTGATAATGACAATAATGGTGGTGAGGATGTAGAACAAAAGGACAGTGATGAACATTATCTCGATGTTGATAAGTCATAATGGGATTTCTGGTCAAGGTAGTGAGATTTTCAAAAGAAGAAGAAGAAAAACACATTGATATATGAAATTATGAGTTTCATCCACTCTACTCATATGCTTTATGGTTAAAAAAGATGTATATAACTGTTTCATTGACATGGTGGTTTTGATCTCTCACCAACCTTATTTCTCAATAATAGAAAGTGATAGGTACAATTTTTGCCATGTACAACATGACCCTTTTTCTTTTTCCTTCATTGCCTTTGGCAAAGTTCTCACCAAACCCTCTGCTCCTTGATTAGTAAACTGGTCAGATCTGAGGATGAAGGTCAGATTGGGGTTGTTTCACTACCCTTCCAAAACGTAACTGCATTTGGTGTGCTCTACTTTGATAAGAGTGGTGAATGAATTTAGTTGTTTACAATTGCACAAAGCCTAAAGCAAACGAAATAATGCTATGGAAATAGTATTCAACTAGCTCACCAGTATTTCATTATTGTCTATAAAAACCAAAAATTACCTTTGGGGTAAAGTAGTTATGCTTGGCAATTGGCATTCATTATATTTCATTGCAATGTCAACTTTTCTCACCAGGAAATTCAAATCAATATTCAATACCCCATGCAATATTAACAAGTATAGTATAAGTCTACAAGTTAGGAATACAAATAAATCAAACTGTTTTCTCCAAATCTTATTCCCTGTACCGGTAAAATAATGTTTCTTAGGACATGCTCCTTAATTCATCAATAATTTGCTTGGTGATTGCATGTGCTAAGTGATATATAATTGAAGGGCTGCAGGCATAATGGCTTTGCCTACTCGTCTTAGAGCAAGGCTTTAGGTTTTTTATACCCTGGGTCTTGCTTCTGTCAGCCTTTCGAGGTTGTCTCTTTTCCGTAGCCATAGCTAAAATTCGAGAAAACAAAAAAGAAATGAAAATTGGCAATTGCAAAATAAGTGATAAGAGAATATGTGATTTGATCGTGATCCACTTGATATCCAACAGCATTTATATATGAACCTATAATGGGGAAAAAGAACATACAAGAAAAGATGTACCAATAATTTGAAATAGTTATAACAACAGAAAATAAATAAATAATTGCTAACAAATTTCTTTAAAGCAGTTGTTAGCATTTGTCCTAAACATGATAGCGAGGGCTACCCATTGAAAGAGGAAGACAGGGTTTGTTTTCTGGCAGACAAGATGGCAACGTAGCAATTATTATGGGAAGAGAGATTTTACAAATTTTGAAAGGTTATTGCTGTTTTTTTTTTTAATCAAATAAAATTTCTTCGTGGCGCCTGGCTGCCCCGCCGGGCTCCTCTGTTCTCCTATTATGAGTTGTCGCTGTTTTGTACCTTCTGCCTATCCTCCTCTCGTGATTTACACGGCAAGTGATCTTCTTCTTTTTCCATCTAATCTTGTAGATTTTTTTTGCACTGTTTTTTTTTAAATCTTTGTTAAATAATACTTTAATTTATTAAAAAAATACCGTAGTGAGTTAATCGTTTGGACATAGAAGAAAAGTGTATAATTTTTTTAGTTAATTAATTGAAATATTTTACATGAACCAAAAGGAAAAATCTATAAATAACATCACATGACTTATTGTTATTACTTAATTAGTAAATGCGCTATAAGATACAGGTAGATGCGCGGCTTGCAATTTAATTTAACAGGACTAATCATCAACTACATGTGCATGACATGTTTCGCGGTTACTTTGTCAACGATGCCTTATTGTCACTAAGGAGGATTGATGATAAGATATAATATTTTAAAAAAATTTAAATTATTTATAAAAATTATATAAAATTTTATTTATTATATTTAATTAAATTATTATTAAATATTATTTAATTAATATTAATTAAAATTTTATTTATTATTTTATATCTACGTAATATTCTTATCAAGAGTAAAAATATCATTTTATAATATTAATATGTTATATCATTATTTATTATAATATGTTAATATGCTATATCAATATCACATGACTTAAAATGATAAATGATATTTTGATTACTAATATAAAAAATTAATTATTTAAAATTTTTTTAAATAGTATAAGATTTTTTTAATATTATACCTAATATATGATGATAAATATACATGCATAATAATAATATTAATTTGATATAAAACGTTTAGTCACGTTCGTTTGTAGTCAAAATTTTTTTTCTTGGAAGAACGATTTTTTTTTTTAATTATTAAAGTGCACTGATTTGATTTTTCGCACGATTGCAATGAGAACCCACTTAAACCATTGTGTGTGAGTCTTGCACTTTCCTTTCTCATATTACCTTGCTCATTTTCAAGTTAATAGAATACGTCTATCTCATACTCTTATTGTCATTGATACTATTTTATTAGGTTAAGCAATTAAAGTGGAATAAAGTTTAGATAAAAATCTTAAGTTTGTAATGTAATTATTTTTATAAAAAATTAAACTTATTTAAAATAATTTTATTAATGTAAACTACATATATCATGTGTATATTATGCAAGTAACATTGTCATGTTAATAAATGTACTCGTGAAAATAGAGTAGTCAATAAAATCTCTGCAACGTATTAAAGAAAAAAGTTTGATAAAATTATTTTATTTATCGTTATTATTTACTTAAAAAGTAAAAACAACTATATCCTAATATATAATTCAACAATTTATTAATAAAAATCATAAGATTTTCAAAAACTTAAGTTGAAATTAACAATAATAATTATCTCAAAGTTTTATATTATATTTTAATATTAAAATTAAATTAGATGTGGGATGACATGAAGAAAATAAAATGAAAAACAATGACATGTTTTCTCCAACTGTTTAAATGTAAATATCTGGGCGAAACACAATTTGCAGTGGTAAACGTGTCGAAACCTCATTGAGACCATGACACCGCGAGTGACATGTCAACATTGACCACTCAAACTGTTGCACATCATATCACCAATAAAACAAAACCCAGCTTAAAAAAAGAAACATCACAGGTTTTTCAACTCCCAACATGACAAATCCCCGTTTGAGGCGGTCAACGCTTTCACATCCTCGCCATAACTTAATAAACCATCCCTCATAGGCGCGTCTTAGTAACATTCGATCACTACAACTTGAAATCGACCTGACGTTGAAGCGCGTGTCATATACCGGAGTTCCAGTGAAAATGGTTTTGGGACAGGTTACAGATATGGGTAAATCATGATACGCTTTCGTAGCTTACGTACGAGAAATTCCCGATATGTATCGGCTCAAATACGTATCAGATTCAGGATTTCCTTTCCTTTTATTTATTTATTTTGTTTTGGTCTTTATAAAAGCTTCAACTCAGCAGCGTGCAGAGACACTTTCTTCTTTAATTATTTTTTAAAATTTTCGTTTTCCATAAATAGATTTTCATTTTCATGGAAATGCTCGAGGAATGTGCTGTTCTAAATTTTTTAATGGAATATATATTTAAACATTAATTAAGAATAGTTAAAATATTATTTTAAGAAAAATAGAAAAGAAAACGAAAAAACTTGGGAGGGGGTAAAAATGGCCAAGCGTGAAAGGTTTCTCAGATAAATCCCTTCACTCACTTACTTCGTTTGTCTCTCTTTCTCTTTCTATCTCTGTCTTTTCTCTTCCTCTTCCTCTCACTTGGATACTAATACACAGAGACACAAAAAAAAAAAAAAAGTGTTGGGGAAATTGATGAAAGAGCAAAAAATGAGATTGAGATTTGCTGTTCCTTTGATGTTATTATAATGAGGGGAGGGTTTATTTTCTTCTTCTTTGAAAGCAATGGCCCTGCAAGAAGAAGAGACTCAGCAGATTCAAAGCCCACCATTGATTCTTGATGGGCTGTATTGTGAAGAAGAGGATTTAGGAGAGTATAGTTTTGAAGAGAATGGAAGCCAAATTTGTGGTGAAACAGTGAAAAAGGAGACATTTGTACCTTTTTTTTTTATTGAACATGACTTGTTTTGGGAAGATGATGCGTTACTCTCTTTAATGTCCAAAGAAAAAGAAACCCATCTTGGTTACATTGCTGTTAACTCTGATGAGTCTTTAGTTTTGGCTCGTAAAGAAGCTTTGGAGTGGATTTTCAAGGTTAAGGCACTCCATGGGTTCAATGCTTTGACCATAGTTCTTGCTGTGAATTACTTTGATAGGTTCATTTCAAGCCTAAAGTTTCAAAAAGACAAGCCATGGATGGGACAATTAGCTGCTGTGGCTTGTTTGTCTTTGGCTGCTAAGGTTGAGGAAACCCAAGTTCCACTTCTTTTAGACCTCCAAGTATGTGTCTAAAGCAAGATTGCAATCCAAGTTTGTTGGTTTGTAAAATTTGTGGTTTTGAACTTGATACTGAGTTATGAAAGATGTATTTTTGTGATTTTTTTTTCCTTTAGGTGGAGGAATCAAAGTATGTGTTTGATTCAAAGACCATACAAAGAATGGAGCTTTTGGTGCTGTCAACTCTTCAATGGAGGATGAACCCTGTGACGCCAATTTCCTTCTTTGATCACATTACAAGAAGGCTTGGATTGAGGACCCATTTGCATTGGGAGTTCCTTCGGAGGTGTGAGCGTTTGCTACTCTTTCTCATTGCTGGTAAGTAGTCAAAACAGCAGACTTCTTTGTACAAAGAAGGAAATGTGCATTTTTAACCCTTTCTATTGAGTTCTAATCTGAAATCTCCAATTCATTTTGATCCAGATTCAAGGTTCATGCTTTATATTCCCTCTATCTTAGCTTCTGCAACAATGCTGCATGTTATTAAAGAGGTTGAACCATGCCATTATCTTGAATATCAGAAACAGCTTATTGGAGTACTCAAGACATGTGAGGTTTGTATACAATTACTTGGGGTGCTCTGTTTTGAAGTTCTCTTACCTGTCGTTTTTTCATAGATTACCTTGGAACTTGATTGTCCATTATTTAATTCTTGTTTTGTTTCAATAGGATAAAGTAAATGCGTGCTACAAGCTCATCTTAGGGTTGTTGGAAAGCCATTGCAAAGGAAACCAAGGCCACAAACGCAAGCATAGATCAATACCAAGTAGCCCTAATGATGTCATTGATGTATCTTTTAGCTGTGATAGCTCAGATGATTCGTGGGCTATGACATCTTCGGTCTCATCATCGCCACAGCCTCTGTTCAAAAGGAGTAGAGCACAGGACCAGCAAATGCGGCTACCTTCACTAAATCGTATGTTTGTGGATGTGCTTAGTAGCCCTCGTTAATCTTTCCTTGTCATAATATTAGTACTATTAAACATGTTATTATACTCTTCCTCTTTTGCATATTATCTGCAGTATCTGTTCTTAATATGCCATCTATTTGTGTTTCATAACTTATTGTCGCCTTCATGGCCAAACTTGCTAACATGGATCATACATGGATTAATATCTGCCATGTTCCTCTTTGATTCAACTTTGGAGGTCAGTTTGGAGTTTGCAATGAGAAGAGATGGTCTTTTTCCTGGGGTTGACATGAATCTCTCACTGTGCTACAGTTTCTGATTCTTCTAATGTTGATGAATGAACATATATTCAGGACATCCTCTGTAACTGCGTACATCTATATTATTTTTGGTCATTTATCTTAGAGTTTAGGTAAAAGTAGAATTAAGATTGAGATGGGCAACCGAAGTCAAAGTTTTTCTTGAATGAACAAATTGTTGACTTACGTGCTTTTTTGGGGGTAGATGAATGCCTGGAAGTGTGCTTGTTTATGTGTTATTAATAAAAGGTAGAGGAGAGAGAAATAATGATCAATTGAGATTTTGGATCCCCATAATTTTACTATTTAAATATCAGGGAGTTCTTTGAACTAGGTCAAACAGAACAGCGAAAGTCCTTAGAGAACAACAACCAAATTTCCACTAGCTGGCAGTTTTCCTACCTTCTCAGGAGTGACTTTCCTCTCTGCCTAAAATATACTTACTATATAGTAGAAATTGTACTAGTTTTCAAAGTAATAAGTACTTTTGTTATGCGTTGAACTTATAATATGATTGTACTCATAGGTATTGATATTTATTGGTGTGACTCCAATCTTGTAAGGAATCTTTTATGTCTGAACAGTTGGACCATATTAAATCTTAAGTATGGCATTATGATAAGTTATAATCTGCCAAAGACTTAACCTTTCAAGTCAATTACCGTCTTTGTTCTTAGTGATGTTAATATCTTTTATTGGCAAACCCAATAGCTGTCAGCTAGCCTTCTATTTGGTGCCTCCGCTTTTTCCCTGTTTGCATGTCTTGGGGACCTTTCTATTTGAATATCTTTCTTGCTTTGTCATTCGGAAGTTTGTGGTGGTATGTTCTTGGATTTGTGAATATCCAATTCCTGAAGAACAAGCTAGCTCAATACATAATCATCTGTAAAAGTTCCAGGCATAGAAATTATATTCATAGGAGATCTTTGAATGCATCAATGATTTTATTAAATCTGTTGTAATGTTGTGAAATCATATTATTGTGGATTATTCTTACGATAGGCAGTGTTTTAGGCAATGATTATATTAGAACATTAATCCTGAAAGTTTTCTGTGTGCTGAATCATGTAACTACACTTGGGGGTAATACGCTATGATGATTTCCCATGTTTCATAATTGTCGTCATATGCAAACATTAAGTAGCTAGGTTGGAAGAATCAACTGGTTTCTGGTTCCATTTTGACTTGCATGAACATTAGCTTCAGAAAGTGTTTTGGAAAAAAAAATTTGTGTCCCAAGTGCAGGAAAGGACAAAAACAAGAATAAGTTTTCCTAGTGCAGCTTGGTACTTCAAACCAAGCAAAACTTAAAAGGCTTATGGGTGAAAGAAAGTGGAGATTTACAGAATGGGCGGGCAATCAATGGATGTGTAAGCTTTTCATTTTTCAGGATGTCTTTGTTGCTTGTGGTCCTTCATTTGCTTTTTTGCTTTCAAGTTTTTTCAGTCTTGTATTTATCACCGCCTTCATTTTCTGTTCATACACTGCGGATTTCCTTCTCTTTTCCCCTTGAGGAATTGTTAAAATGGAACAGCTAAGGAGTAAGCATCTGACCCCACTATTAATAACCCTTCAAATATATATAATTACTACCAAAACGTTTTCATTTGCACAGTGATGTAGATGTTTGTTACCCGTCCGGTATATTTTTTGATTGCCATGAGGGGGAAGAAAGAATTCTTTCCTTTTTGAACAAAGTAAAACCCTTTACTAATCAACTTGGGTCACATTCTTTTCTGTTTTCCCCCATCTTGTCTTGTGATGTCCTTTTCGTTTTCTCTACTCATCACTAACAACTAGTTTTTGCTTCAAGATAACTCTAGAATTAGAGGTCATAGGCATGAACCTTAAACCGTAAGGCTAGAGGGTAGGAAGGTATGCTATATATAATTCAAGGCAGAAGTAGGTGGTTGCACCTCATTAGCAAATACCTATTTCCTTTGTTAGGAATAGGTAATACCGGCAACGTGCATAGCTCGATTCTAAGTTTGGGTGCTACATTTGTATAAGAGCTTTACGATTGAGTTTCTGTGGCCAGAAATTATGTTACAATATGGTGAAAAAAACTTGAACATGCTGCTAATATAGCTGTTGTCATAAATTGCTGATGGGAGAGGGCCTGCAGTTTTGGTCATTTTGGTACTGTCAGGATTTGCAAGCATGTCATGAATGAATCACATCTTAGTTGTGTTCGCAGGCAAGTATTACGGTACTTCCAACTTTCAAGAGCAACGATTCCAAGGGACTTGCATTTTCCCTGTTAAAAAATAGACCCCGATTGCACTGACAAGCCAACGAGAAAAATTCCAAGTATTCTGATAGTCAAATTCCATTCATCTGACAAGGTTTTTGATGTGTGTGTGTATATATATAGTATTAACTGATAACACCATGCAACTACTATATTGCTTTTTTGCAATGAAACGTTGAAATGTCTTTGATTTAAAAAAAAAAAAAAACTAAGAGTTCAAGCGATGAGATTTGATCGGGGTAATGGGTTTTTTTCATGTAAATTATGAAAAGAAAGAAAAAGGAAAAAGCTATTTGTTTATACTTTATAACTATTTTGTCCTTGCTTGGTTTGACAATAATGGTAAGGAGAGGAAAAGGAAAAGAAAAGGGAGGGAAGACTGGATCCACAACGGGTTAAAGAAGGAAATGATAAGGCAGTGGAGTAACTAGTACGCATGTGAAAGACCAGAGTTGAGGAGTGGTTGAAAACAGCTAGGAAAAGCTTGTCATTAAGTTATTTTAGGGGGTGAGATTGTCAAAAAAGTTTAGTACTCCATTGTTTCTTCTAGGTGTTGAATTTGAGAATAGAAAAATTCAGACGGTTAAAGAAAATTTAGATAAGAAGAGAGATTTTTTTAGATAATTGGTTCCAATCATGCCAGTCTTCCAGTAGTTAAACAAAGCAAAGTGTGCAAGTCAAAAGGCAATGAAACCTGTTCAAAAATCTTTCCAGCTTACCCGAGTGTGAGGGAAACAACTAAACAATGGTGGGCTAGATAGTTGTTTTCATAGGTGGAAATGGCAGTGTCTAATTTAAGGATTGCCAGAGAGTCCCCCTTTCATTGTATCATTGTCGAGGATTTTAGTGTACAACCAACCCAAAATTAAAAATAACTGACTGAGAGGTCTCATCAAGTACAGCAAAGCCACCTCTCTGCTTCAAACAGGAACTTTGCCCAGGAACAATTCAGGTTTCACTTTCACCAGTTCGAAGAGATTGACCCTTCAAACTTGGCCGAAGAGCTAGCATTCAAAAGTAGTCTTTAGTGCACGATTTAAGATGCTGATCTAAACTAGTTGAGGGTTATAACTGCTTTATAAATGTGGCAGCTCAAGTCGGTGTATTTTCTTAAAAGAAAACAGACAAAATGTACAACCATAGGCACGATTTCAAAACAACACATATATTTCTTTATTTTGGTAGGAATTTATTAGTTCTTGCTGTGGCTTCAATAACTTGATCATTACCGGCCGACATTTTGCATTCTGTGATGGGGATCTTAAGCTTCTAAATCAACCCGGTCCTTGCTTTGAAAAATTTTATGCACATCTACTTTACAAGGCTGTGTGTAGCTTGGAATTTTCTCAGGCAACCAATTTCTTGTCACCCTAAAGGATATATTGTATATCTAGAAGCATGTTTCTGATCACGTCGACATCTTTCATAGGTTCCTATGCTCATTATCCTGCTTACTTCATGGATTTTGTGTTTTGTTCTAAGGCTTGTTGAAAGAGGTAACTGATATGAAAGTATGCAACCTGTAGAGAAAGCATGTTTGCCTAAGAAGTGACATTGTAGACTTATTTTCTTGACATCCATTAATTTTGTCAACAGGGATCATACCCACCGGCAGAAAACACAGGAATTGATGGCACTAAGACTTCCAGGCCTTACAAGTCATCGAATTCCGACCAAATGTCTTAAACTTCAAACAGAGCTCCCCCACATCCACCTAACATGGAGAAGACCAGAATCGGTGTTAATTTGCTACAGCTGGATTCATGAATTTAATTTATTTGATAGCTTCGAAGTACTGATTTCTCTGTGTCGTCTACAGGCTGCTAAGCCCAACAGTGCTGATCAAAGCTCCGTATCTAAGCCAGAAAATGAATAGAATTTTCACCATGTAAAAAAAAAAAAAATTCTGACGTTCACTATAAGAAAAGTACTTTCCATCGGCTCAATGATTCCAGTGTAAATGCTACCCAAACTGAGTCGATTAACGGCGGTAGAAATTTTTTCCAACTGTTCATTATGACAGTAATGATTAAATGCAACTATGTAGACAGCTCCATCCTTGCAGAACGTACTCCAAGAATACCGAGGTAATTCGTATATGTAGTGGAGAAAAAAACCTGAGGACATTTCTTTCCATTGCGTCACTCACCGATTAAAACAGCAGAAAGGGCATAATGGTAAGAAACACATGGAAAAGAATTAGAGTCTGCTGATTAAAATGGAAATGTTTTCCTTTTCTACAGATTAACCTATGCCCAGGACATCAAATCCAGACCTTTAACATGATCCTAAGAGACCACCATGCTTTAGCCCTTTTCACCTTGTGATGACTGGCTCAATGGCTCTCATACTACATCAGGTAATCCTTTCCAGGATTTGGATCCGTGCCTTAGCACCTGCTTTGATGCCAAAAGTTACGATCCATGACCAAAAATGCTAGCAAAACCCTTAGGTTTGAACATGTCAAATCCAGATTTTTAACATTTTTTTGTTATAGCAACAGCACTTATCTTCATTTCTGCCTAGTGTCAAATACTAAAATGGAAAACTGACAAGTTAAGCCTATTTGTTGAGAGAGTTTAATTCTCTTAAATTATTTTCATTTTTATTTCTATGGTTAATAGTACAATACCAGAGTTATCCCCTATTGAAGGTACTTCAGCAAACCACCCACAAGCGTTTCTTTATGATGCATCACACATGTATTGTAGTGTCTTAATCTTTAGATTGGTTGAAAATCCACTGAATATTGAAAACTTAGTCACTTGCCCTCCACTACTGGTACTTTCAAGTCTTTCTCTGGGAGAAGATCAGTTTCTGTATTGAAATAGGGCTGGCTTGGGACTATGCCTGCAATCAAAAGAAAGAAAATAGATTTAGGTCCTTGAAAATTTATCAGTCTAGACCTTTTAACCAAGAATTGATTGAGTGGTGCTGAATGAAATTGAAAGAAACTTGGATTATCTTGCCTTGCTAGAGATATTGCTGGATAGCCAATCAAGACCTTCATAAAGTCCTTGGCCGGCGGTGGCACACGTAGCCTGAATGTACCTGTATCAGTTCCCAAACGCCAGTTGTTAGAGGAAAGTAGCAGTTCTACCTTTGTCTCTTAAAACGGTGTCAGGTGCTAATTTTGTTAACAGCTTGAAGGTAAAATGACCACATTTTGGCTCTGTTTAGTTGGTGGATACAAGTACGGACTAATGAGTTACTTTAGTTGACATCATGATTTACCAACGGCGTTGGCGAAGTGAATGCAGGCCAAGTTTATCAGTGATTTCAGACACACTCATGGCATTTGGAAGATCTTGTTTGTTAGCGAAGACAAGTAGTGTCGCATCACGTAGTTCATCCTGCAAAAATAAAGACCACAAGTAATTATTGAGCCTGTTTGCACACTTAAAAACTAGACACTACTTAACCTCCTAGTGCTTTCTGCAAGTGAGAAATCTAATGCAAGCTCAGTCAGATCGATACTCTGGAATGACATTTCCATTAGAAATTTTCTATTAAAATTATCCCCTGAGAGAACAAACTTGTAATGAATTCAAAAAATTCATAGAAATTATTGACCTCGCTCAGCATCCTGTGAAGCTCATCCCTGGCTTCTGATATTCTTTCTCTGTCATTACTATCCACCACAAAAATAAGGCCCTGAGTGTTCTGAAAGTAGTGTCTCCA